GGTCAGGAGTTGAGCCGATAACCACATGAAGGCTAAGTTCCAGGGCCAAAGCACAGAAGGGGAGTCCCGTATCTAAGAAGGACCCGTATGCCAAAGCTGTGCTTTCACTCATGGGAGCTTCCACACACTTCCTGGTGCCTTGGGAATCTGCATGTTGTTCCTGCAGACTCCTAAGCACCCGGCGGGAAGGAGGAAAGGAGACAGGTGTGCCTTCAGTGAGAGAACTCACACACAGCACAAAACCAAGGGGCAGGAATTCCCAAAGCCACCATCTCTGCACACAGGTATGTGGTTCAATTCTCACCCTACTTGCCTTTCAGAATGAAAACACAGTATTATAATCCCCACAGTGGCCTAGCCAGAACCCAGCCTCCTCAAAAAGATCATTTCCCCTTACTGTCTGCGTTTAGCTTGAGCTTGCATTCCCCTCTAATCAGAAACTCGAGGTTTTCACCATTTCTACTGGTGAGAGCCAACTGCAGTGTGAGTCACAGGAAAATAGTACCCTAGAGATGAGCCCAGTGCTCTTGTATTGTACCCAGTCCCCTTGGGGAACAGGCGGGGGGAGGGGGACACGCCAAATTCTCAGTGGGGTTGAGTCTGTCTCGCTGATTGCCACAGTGAGGGGTAGGGAGTACTTCAAAGTCTCTGAATTCATTTCCATCCAAAGAGAAGTTTGAACAGCTCTCCATCTCCAAAAATAACCATTCCCAATGACTCCAAAAGCATGTTCAAGAATGATTATCCCCACGCAGTGGACAGAGCAGAACCAACCCTTTATCTTGAGTCTCATCTTAGAAAATGTGCTGGTGTCTACCAGACTATGACAACAGCCTAAAAATCTCCTGAAGACTCACTGGACTCATCCCTTTCCCCCAGAGTGACCAGCACGAGGGAACAGGTGGATTGAAAGCAACCGTCTCATGGGCTTCTATTCTCCAACAATATAGGAGTTTTATTTTTTATTGTTACATTTTAGATATACATAATGATCACATTCATCATAGAGAATTTGTACCTGTACGTGACTGATCTTGCTTTTTTCCCCATGTCCCTTCCCTCCCTTCAGCTTCCTTCCCCACTTTATACAAGTTTTGTTCCCATTTTTCCCTTCTATTCTTTTTTTCTTGTCCTTTTTTCCTCCTCCCTCTACTTGTTCCCCTCCTCATCTGAACATTTTCTCATGGGCTTCTAAAAATCAAAGTATTTCAAAGTTAGACCGGTTTAAAAAAAAAAAAAAAGCTACCTCTTTTAGAAAACCACCAGACAAACTGTACCTTTGATTCTAATCACTGTTACTCAGCTCCCCTCCCCTGTTTACCTATCTGGGATGAAATTTATTCTTCTGTACCTGTCAGCAGCCTACTTTCACTGTTGGGGACATTTCACTTGATATACATATTGCTGGATGGTAGGAATTGCTCATCTTCAATTACTTCTTTCTTCCCACAATGCCAGAAATAGTGTCTTGGTCATAGAAGTGACTCAATTCATGATTGCTAAATAGCCAATTTCATTTGTAATTTCCGAGACAGCTCCAACAGGGGAGGCAAAGAGGGCCGGTGTAATTAATAGATGGACTTCACTGATGTCTTTGTTGCAACAAGTGACTCGGCAGCAAAGCGCCTCGGAGCCCTGCTAATGACACCAGCTCCACACTGGGCCACTCGGTCCATCATGTCACCTGTTCCCTGTGTCTTGGAACTGCCACCCAGATATTCCTTCCTATCATTGAGCTGCTTCCAGTTGTTTGTATTTATTCATTTAATTTTTGCTTCTTGCATTTCCAAACAGAGTTGAAAACTGTTGGTCAGCCCCTAGCCCTTCTTTTTCGGCCCCCGGAAGCCTTCACGAAAATCAGATCTGAGCCAAAGAGGACAATGTTGTCTGAAGTTTCAACTCTACCCAGCTCAGGAGGACCACGACAAACATCCCCAACATGTCCTTTGACTTAACACTGCTTCCGACGAAGAGTCAGCTACCCTCTGCAGACTGTTCTGCATCAGAGCCTGACTGGTAGGATATTCCTCCCTGGGCTCAACTGAAGGCTATCAACAAATGCCACCCACTGGTTTTAATTTCTCCCCTCTGGAGCCACATAAACTAACTCTTACAGCCTCTGCCACGTGGCAATCTTTGAAGGGGCTGAAGACCGTATTCTTGACAATTCATGCAAATAAAGACCTGAGTGTATGATACTGTAACGAACTGGAAGCTGCACCTTCCTGGCCATCTGGCTCAGGAGCCCCCTCTGGCAAAGCCCTGAAGGTGACATATGGCTGTCCTTTATTTACCGGCAGACAGAGAGGGAGCCCCTTGTTCCTTAGCGTGGTAACGACTGCGGCCGTTCATCACCCACTTGGCCCTTTTTGAAATTCACTCTGCAGCAAGCACTTTTAAAGTCATACACGCAATGCATTTTAAAGAGCATTTGCTGCACGGAGCCATTTGCTCAAGCTCGGCACTAAGTGTGAGATGGAACGCGTTCAGTGCAGTCCCCTGCTCCTCCTAGAGCCCGTGCTGAACACACACTGCAATGTGTTTGCACCTATACATGACGAGGGCTCCAGAATTCAGTGTTTTGTTCAATGTTCATCTGCTGATTAAAATGCATCTTTCAAAGAAAGTGCATTGCTAATGTAGAATCTAGTCCAAAAACACATATTATGTAATGCATATTTTTTAATAATGCAGGCAATCTCAGTGTATCATATTAGTGAATCAACTCTAGCTGCCATCTCCATTATAGGCATAAAGCACTCCATGGAAATGAAGTACTTTGCTATGTACACTAAAGAATCACAATCTACCTCACTGCTGATAGCTGGTATTAGTTGAAAGGGTATTTACCAGCAAACATATATTCCTGATTTTTTTCTTTAATATCCCCTGAAATCAGCTTGACCAGTATTTTTTAGCCTCTGTACACTGTTGGTGGAGCTGTTTTCACTGAAAGAAATAAGCAGGTAGGTCAACAGGAACATGAAATATCCCTGTTAGTCAGGACTGAGACGCAAAGACCAGGATGTGAGACACAGAGCCCCAAATGCCCCTGTCTGGTGTCCCAGAAGAAGGTCCACATGACAATTAGAGCCATGGCAGTGCTAGTGACAATGGAAACCTTCGGTTTCTCTGGAGACTGCACAGTGGAGCACAACTGGGATACAGACCTCTGTCCTTTCGAGGGCCAAGCCAAATCAACTCTTCTTTATCAATCAGTATTTTAATGCTACAAACCTAACTCCTAGAATACGAGGCACATTACAAACACAGTCAAGATGCAGAATCAAATTCAGCACCCAGCAGAAGCAGTAGCTGGAATCTCACTAAGATCGTGACTTTATATCTGGCAGCTGTCATGGAGGCCTGATACCCAGAGTACAGGCAATGAGGGCCAGCTTTGGGAACACAACACTCAGCCACCAGCAAGGGACGGGAAGGCTGGTGGATCAGTTCAAAAGGGAAAGCAGAGAACTGGCTCTTCTTCTCAGAGTTTTCCCATACTGACTCACAAAAACAGCCAACTGGAGAGACGTGTCCCAGTGCAGCAACCTTGGTGACTTCACCGATCCCAGGAAGCTGGCTTTGCTTTGAGCTTTATTACCTTTACCCTCTCACCATAGCAAAGGGCTCTCCATTTTTAACAGGGAGGGTCAGACCAAAGACATGTGCACCCCAAAAGAAGCAGTCACATTACAGAGAAAATTCCAGAGCTTCCCCAGTGCAGTGCACCCCCCATCACACCCCATCTGATCTTCCACAGCTGAGAAAGAGAGGGTCTAGTTTATTCCAATTCTTCAGACTTCAGAATTCAACGCTACAATCCAGTGGTATCTGGCCGCCCCCTAGCTCTGATGCTCTGGCAGATCTGTTTTCTCATGTAAAATTCAAGCTGGATTAAACAATGGAAAGGGCTGGGAATGCAGCTTAGTGGTAGAACATTTACCTGGGACATACAAGGCCCTGAGTTCAATCCCCAGTACTACCCCTCACCAAAAACAAACAAACAAAAAAAAAGAAAGAAGAAGAAAAAGAGCCCCCCCCCCCATAACAGGGATAAGGAGGCATTCTGAAGGGTTCCCTGTTCCTACTAACAAATTCAATTGTCAAAATCCTTCCCGCAATGGGAGACTTTTTCTCCAACATTCTGCTCTCAGCACCTAGAATGGAGCTTGACATGTGCTGGCACTCAGTGAGTATTTGCCCCATTACCTCTTGGAAACTTACCTAAGAAGTAGCTCTAAGAGCAACCGGAGAAGATTCTGAGACAGCCGGCCACTCTCCTCCCCGAAAGCAGCAGCTGCTCAGACTGATCGGGAGCGGTGCAGCAAAGTCTTCTGTGTCCCCAGCTCTCCTCCGTCTTCCACACATCTTCCCAGCTGGAGCCACCCGTGGGTTGGCGGACTTGAAAACTACTACCTCCAGAACTGTGGGGTCCTTTCTTTAAAAACAGGCTCGTTTGCCTATGAGGCAACTAGCCAGTTAAGACTACACAGGTCACACATTTTTTGGAAGCCCCTTTACCGTCACTGTAACAAATCTGCCAAAGGTGGTTTCATGATTAATGCCTGCTTGAGGCTACCGTCCTTAAACTGGTAAGCCCCTAGAAAATGCCGTGGGCTGGGTCACTAATATAATCTAGAGACCCTTATTCCCCTCAATATTTGCAATTTTGCAATCTGGTTTATAGCTGCTCAAAAGCTATGCTCACTTCGCCCTGTAGAATTTGGGGAGGGGGTCCAACTCCATGGAGGAATCCGCTCCAGCTACCCGAGCTAACCTACCTGTGGCTAGAGCTCTTTTGCTCGTTCGCGGACACGCGCCAGCGCCAGCGCCGCACCCCCCTCCCCAAGATTTCGCCCAAATCCTTCCAAACAAGGTTCCCGCCTGCCACCTGCCGGCCCACCAGGGTCTGCGCCACCGACTCCGCGCCACTGCTCAGCTCGCGGGGAGGTGGCCCCCACCTTTCTACTGCACATGCCCGGCAGAAGTCCGGGCGCGCAACTTCGCAGGACCTCACCGCCCCATCTTTCCCCGCCTCAGTCTCCTCGCTCCTCTCCCAGGCGAGAGGACCAGCGGAGGCACCTCTCCCGAGTCTTAGACTGCAGAGTCTAAGACTTAGCGAGAGGAGCCCCGGAGGAGACAGATCATTTCTCCCCCTTTCCCATCCCTTCTTTATTTATTTATTTATTTTGGTGTTGGAGAGGCAAGCAGAGGCGCGGAGCTTTAGAAAGTTCTTGAGTGGTCGGGAAGGTAGGTGCTTCCTTTTTTTCTCTTGACACGAGGTGGGACTGGGACCTCTGGACCCAGCTGCTCCCCTCAGTAGGGGCACCTTTTTCGGCTCCAGCGGCCAATGCGCCTTGGAGCCACTCTCTGCAGAGCCAGAGGGTGGGTCGGCTTCTTGGTGCGTGCCTAGAGGATGGATCGGAGGTCCCGGGCTCACCAGTGGCGCCGAGCTCGCCATAATTACAACGATCTGTGCCCGCCGATAGGCCGCCGGGCAGCCACCGCGCTCCTCTGGCTCTCCTGTTCTATTGCGCTCCTCCGCGCCCTTGCCACCTCCAACGCCCGTGCCCAGCAGCGCGCGGCTGCTGGGCAGCGCCGGAGCTTCCTTAACGCCCACCATCGCTCCAGTGCCCCCATATTCCCTGAATCCCCTGAATCCGAATCTGACCTGGAGCACGAGGAGGGAGACCTCGAGCAGTCCCTTCCTGAGTGCCTAGAGTACGAGGAAGAGTTTGATTACGAGACCGAGACCGAAACTGAGACGGAGACCGAGTCCGAAATCGAGTCCGCGACCGACTTCGAGACCGAGCCCGAGACCGCCCCTGCCACTGAGCCTGAGACCGAGCCGGAAGACGAGCGCGGCCCCCAGGCGCCCAAGGGCTCCACCTTCAACCAATCTCTCACCCAGCGCCTGCACGCTCTGAAGTTACAAAACCCCGACGCCTCCTCGAGTCTCGCGCAGCCCACCACTCAGGAGCTCTACAGCTCCAGCGAGGGGGAGGAGCCCGAGGAGAAGGATCCGAGGGACCCCGAAGAGTCTGAGGAGCCCAAGCAGAAGAAGCCACGCCGCTGCAAGCCAAAAAAGCCCGCCCGCCGCGACAGATCCCCAGAGTCCCCTTCCAAAAAGGGGCCCATCCCCATCCGGCGTCACTGATGGAGGACGCCGTCCAGATTCTCCTTGTTTTCTTTGATTCAGGTTAGTTGAGTCGGGTAAACTGGGGAGGGACCCTCGGGGCGGCGTGGACATTGTGGGAGGACGGGTGGGAGAAGGAAAAGACCAGCAAGAGGCAAGATGGGAATGGGGGTGGCCCTCAGATAGCTCAGAATGAAGGCTCCCCAAATCTTCCCAGGGCGCCCCGGATGGCCAAAGGCTTGTCTGACGGTGAGGCGCTCCGTGCGCCTCACCGGAGACAGTCTGAGGTCTCCGAGCCGGTGCCCTGGCCGAGGGACTGAATCCTGTGCGCGCCTCGAGCCTTGAGCTGCACACCCAAGCGGCAATGGTAAGTCACTTGTTTTATGTGTTTTTTCCCCTCCGCTTGGAGAGGTTAGTCTCAAACAAGTTGGTTTGGGCGAACGCCCGAAATGTGGTTTGGAGGTGCGCGCGCCAACTTTCTCCATTCCAGAGCAGCCGCGCAGGAGCGACAGTGTTGTAATGTGGGAAAAGAAACCAGAATGGGATTGGGCGAGAACTCCGGAGACTGCCGGTTCCGGAGGGAAGTAGGCGCGCACCGCGCCCGGCGGCTCGGAGCCTGGAACCCAGGTCGCCGCGCTGCTGTTTTAGAGCCGGGGCCCCTCGGCGCCGGGCCCTCGGCTGCAGTGCACCAGGCTTTGCCACCACTGGCCGCCTTTCAGACACTCAGGGGCCACGGCGCGAAAAAGAGTGTGCGCACCTGTCCCCGCGCCGCACTGCTAGCCTCTTCCGGCGGGCGGTTTCTCCCCGCGAATCGCTGGTCCTTAAAAGGGCAGGGAGCGGAGGTACAGAGGCTTTTGGGAGTGCCCATACGGGCTACCAGGGTTGGCAGCACGGACTCGATCACGTCGGGGCATCGCCACGGTTCTGACGCAGCTGGTAAGGCGGCGGGGCGGCTGCAGTTTGGCTGGAAGTTTCTGGGCTGTTTGCTCAAAGCGCTAGGAGGAGGAAGAGGAGGGGAGAAGAGGTCTGAGTGGTGGTCGTGGGCGGAAAAGTAAAGCCGAACGGGGGACAGGCTGGCGTGTGGGTTGCGTCCATCACAGGGACACGTACTCAGAGTCCCTGGGAGCGCGGCGGCGCCGGGGAAGGGTGGGGGAAAGGTGGTATCCGACCGGCGCCCGGTTGGCGGGTGCTGGGGGAGGGGAGCCTGGCGGCTTCCGCAGCCTGGTGGAGGCGGCTCGCTTGCTCCGGCCATGTTCGGCAGCCCCCGCAGGGCTAAGTTTGGAATCTGTCCCCTGGAGGGAAGCTGCCCTGGCGATACAGCACAAAAAGCCGCAGTCCTGCAGCGGCACCCACCGAGGCTCGGGTGGCTCAGCGTGCCTTCTCCAGCCCTGGGGAGAAAGGAGGATGAGTGAAACGTATTTACAAATCCTCACCTGATCTGGAAACTACTTTGTTGCGTTTTTTCTGGTGCGCGCTCGCCTGGTTTAGCGCCGGCTTGAGTTCCGATGGGAATGATGGGGGTCGGGATGGGGGTCTTCAGCGTTTTGTCGGCTCGAAATGAGAAAGGTCGTGCTCTTAAGCTCATTCGGAGAAGGATGGTGCCAGAAGGAAGCACTGTCGATGGTCCTCCTTGCAGGGCGTCTTCTCTTGGGAGGAGTCGCAGCGTCCCAGGACTTAGTTCCGCTGCGTTGCGGGCGCCGATGGTGGTGAACCCTGATCCGAGGCCGGTGTGGCCTTTAGTAAACAGAGGCAGGCGGGTTGTTAGCAAGGGCTTTGCCCCGACGGCATTTGGTGTCGGAAGTGCTGAGGAAGCCCAGGACTGCAGAAAGGCTAGGGAGCCTGCTTTGGGCTTGACAGTGTTAAGCTGGATAAGTCAAGTTGGAGCCCACCTTGAGTTGAAATTTCCACTTACTGTAAACAATGATTGCAAGATTTCTGTGACATTGTATTCTGTTTTTCCTCTAGTAACCTCTTAGTAGCCTGTGTTCACTATGCAAGAGGTCTCTAGTTAACAAGAGAAACCTGGGGTTTCGTTGGAGTTCTGTGACAGCTATCTCTAGTTTGGGTAGTTTAGGGGACCGGTTTTTCCATAGAGCGTGGTGTTTATTCATTAGTTAAACTGCAGGCTGCCTTGTTGTGGGATGCATAAACACATGTTAAAAATGCTTAGGGTCCCTTGTGCCTAGCCCATGCTGCGTTTAAGTGTTGCTGATTTAAAAAGAAATCTGTACCTGGCTCCCCACACCTCGAGCCACGCCCCAGGTTTGCGTGCAGAGACTTCCGGTCTAGGGACACGCCAACAGACTCTTCCATAAACTGCCCCCAGCCCACAGATGCGGACCACACAGCTCAACTGGGAAAACCTGTTCCAGGCTCCAGTCGGTCCCCAGCCCGCCCCTCCCCCAACCTCCCTCTACCCCAGATTCCAAGGCGGAAAAAACCAATGGAAACCAAGCAAGTCTGAGGAGGAGGATACCCCAGCCCTGGGCAAGGCACACCATGACCCACCCGGGGAGAAGCGCTGCCTGAAACATTAGACCTTTCAAGCTCATTTTCTGTTTGAGGCACTGGGATTTAGCTGCTCTCCTTTGCTGGAGACATTTCTATTTCTAGCAAGTTCTCCCAACCTTCCCAGCTCACTTGCTCCCCAGCTGGCCCTTGTGTCACGCTGCCAGGCCCAGGCTGAAATTGGCATTTCAATGGAATCACTTGCCCTTTTACCTAGGTAGGGTCTGAGCAAAGCAGACCTTCCAGCTGACCACACAGCCGGTTATAATATTTCAAATGGAGATGGGTGGGAGTGGGAGAGGGAAGACTGGAATAGAATGAGCTACAGATGAGGGGGTGTCCCAAGTTAGGGTTCCCCCTTTACTACATTAACCCTTTGCTTAATGGAGATCTGGTTGGGGGGTGACAAAGGCGCTCTTAAAATTGCAAAGGTTTAACTTGGAAATTGTGGCAACGTTCAAATGTTGTTTGATTTGAGGAACCTGATGTAGATTTATTTCTAAAAGCTTGAAAAAAAATTTTCCTCTGTATTTATCAGAATTGAATGGGAGATTCTAAAATCTACAAATGTTTTGAGATGTTTCTTTAATGTACTAGAAGCTCCCCCCCACTCTTTGATCTTTATATTAGCAGCTGTGATTGAAGAGTTAATGAAGGAGAAAGCTGAAACTTCACTCTTGGTAAGAATGTGGTTCTCTTTTCTTTAAAAAAAAAAAGTGCATGGATTTTCCTTAATTTATCTGCTCTTCAAGAAGGATGTGCAATTGAAAGAAAACAGAGCAGAAACTCTGGTGTGGGGAAAGCATTTGAGCTGGAAGGTGACCCAACCCAAAACACAAATCACTAAAACAAAATTATGTTTCCAGAGGCCAGTGATGTCCTGTGCCTGCTCAAGTATACTGCCCAGCAGTGGGCATGGGATTCTCAAATTACATATTTAATCCCCATGTTCTGGAATGAAGGATGGAATTTCTCCTCCTGCTGTGAGGTTTTGACATTAATGATTTTATTTCTTACATCTCTGTTTTAGACATGAGCATCTGAATGTAAGGCAAAAGGTACTAGGCAAAGCTCAGGCTGCTTCCAGCCCGAGTCCTATCAAGAGCCTGTGTTGCTCAGCACCCTTCTGCCTCAGTTTTTTCTAAAACAAACTAGCTAAATGAGAGGTTCCTATTTATTATCCATTTCGGCTCCAAATGTGTGCAACTGATTAAGAATCCCAGAGTGTCCAATTTGATGCTATGAATGATTTTAGTACTAATTGAGCCTAATATTTCAAACATTGATTAGATAAAAAGTACCATCATTAAAAGGATCTGTTTGTGTTGATCTAATGTCAAATCTGCTTTTCAACTGGTGGTTTCCAAAAAAAAAAGGTTTAAGGAGGAAGGGTAGAAAATGTGAAATTACATTATTCCCTGTCCCTAAACTGACAAAACAAAAGCAAAAAACCTGGCCATCCTTAGAAGCAGCCTTCAACATTCACCGTGTGTGAGTGTGTGAGTGTGTGTGTGTGTGTGTGTGTGTGTCCCCTGCTCCTCCTCACCCTGGCTTCAGTGTCTGGAAGCAAGCTGTCCAGAGCCTGAGCAGGCAGCACATTGCAGCACTGTAGAGCACTTCAGCAGCAGGGAGACGCTGCTGCCCTGTGGAGGACGCAGGCTGACAGAACGCCAGTTCACTGACCACACATGTTGAATACATTATTTGGTAACAGGTTTAAGTTTCCTGATTAGGCTAGACCTGGAAACATGGCTTAGAGGCTGCAGCTAGTTAGGATAAACTAGTTCTCCCCCCCCCCCGCCATTATTACTCCTTCCCAAGCTTTTTTCTGAGCCTTTTTTTCCCCTAGTCATTCCTACTACCCTCCATGAAATTTCCATCCCACGGATACAACTATACTACATTATGTTTGTGTACTGTGGAATCTAGTAATAGCTAAGGTTTTCTGCACACACAATACCCCACCACCACTAATTTGGCTCCCTTGCAAATGCATTAGATAAACAAAGCAAATGTTTTCCCTAAAAAGAAAAAAAAATCGATTCTGTCAAATCAAGTGATTTAGCAGCTTCAGTTTTGCTTTGGAATTTAACCCTTTTTGAACATTTATGAAATCTGGTACATTTTTATTGATGCTTGTTCTTTAAATTTCACAAGCTTGTTTTTCTCAAAAGCCCCCTGACAGTTATCAGCTATTGAGTGCTGGTGCCTAGTTGGTTCACAAGGCAGAGGCCCCCATAAACAGCCTAATGACTTAAATCTGTCCCCTAGAGCCAAGAGTGGCCACTGCAGGGCAGCCATCACCTGTTGACAGCGCTGCGCCAGCAGAGGCAGGATACCCGAGAGGAGCTGGCGCCCTGGCGCCCTCCGCCTGCAAGCTACTCCGATGGAACTGGGAGGCTGCCTTTCCAGCTTCAAGTGTGGGCACAGCCCGTGTTTCTTCTATGGCCTATTTTATTTTATTTTTATTTATTTATTTTTTTTTTTGTCTTTTTCATTTTTACTGGTACCGGGAATTGAACTCACGACTGCCTGCTTGCAAGGCAGGCGCTTATGCCGCTGAGCTAAATCCCCAGCCCCTTTCTATGGCCTATTTTAGAGAGGGAGCGTTACAGGCCAAGCCCAGGCTGTGGACAGAGGGTAGGTAGGGGCAGATCTGTGGAAGACAAAAGAGGAAAAACAAGATGTGGGCAGACAAGAAAGAAAGGCAAAGAACATAAGATTTAGAACTGAGGGATGGGGAGGAGAGGGGTAGGGCACATACAGATATGGCAGGCTTCAAATATCTGGTGGCCAGAGGGGTTTGAAGAGGTGTACCCACCCACCAAGAGCAGACACTGGCTCAGCCTTAGGAAGAGCATTTTCAGTGGCCCAAGACCCCCTGGAGGACCACTAATAAATTTCAGACTGACCATGCTTAGAGTTGCTGGTCCTAGAAAGTCTCATAGACCTGGCCCAGGAAATCCATTTTCCTACATGCAATGGATATTTTATACACGTGCTTCAAATGCTTTCACCAAACAGAAAGACATAAAAGCCTGGGAATTTTGTCTTACGTTCAAATCCTAAGCCTTGGGTATGGGCTCAGGAAAGGCCGGTTTCAAAAATGTGTAAGAGGAATTGTCAAATTGGGAAAAAACGTTCAAATGAGAAGGGGAAGGTGGGGGAGAGAAGGGTAAAGTAAAAAAGAAAAGAAAAAAATGGAAACAAAGCTTTTTGTAGAGGAGGGGAAGAAAGGTTGAAGGGAGGGGAGGGGAATGGGGGAAAAGAGAGACCATTTATATTACTGGTACAAATTCTCTGGGATGAATGTTATCATTGTATACATCTAGAATGTACCAATAAAATCTGATTGTAAAAATAAAAAAGAAATTTTAAAAAAAGAAGAAAAAAGCAAGGCCAGTTTCTGAGGCACCCACTTTAAGCATGAGGGAAATGAAAGATACAGGCACAAAGGCTGACAGCCACTGCGGACAGTCCCCCGGCCCGCTCTGGGAGGAGGGGTGTCTGCCCTGTGTACCCCACCAGCATGGAGAAAAGGTCTTGCTCCTGGTAACTGAGATCTTACGAGAATGTGAAGTCTACCCTTCCCCTTCAAATCAAACAGCATCCGGTGACCATAAGCCTCTCGGGTGCCTGGAATTTTCACCATGCATTACAGATATTTTAAACAGAGCTTCCACAAAAGCCAGAGGTGTCACCACCCCAGTCCCCACTTGTGCCTTCATCTTTTCTGGAGTGGCTGCTGCCCCCTCCACTGCCCCCCCAACAGTGCTCTGCTGCATCGCCAGCTGGCCTGGAGAAAGAATCCACGGCACAACTGAGGTGACTCCACGGCACAGGCAGGCAGAGGCGCTGGGATGCCAGGAGCACGCCTGGCTGCAACAATTTCATGGCCTTTTTGTGGGGAGGGACGCTAAGCCACCATGAGGGAGCTGAGTGAGGGGGTCTGAATCCACGTACCACTTCTGAGTCTAAGCAGACGACGTGTTTTCACGAATACTGTTTCCGCTACCTTTAACACCAACTCCAAGTCTGCCCCTAACCCATTATCTTGCCTCATCTGTGGCAGGCATCGTGCCTTTGGCTGGCATTTGCCTGAAACAGCGGGTCACGCAGCCCCCTCTGCAGATAGCAGTATGTTGCTGCTGCCTCCACCGGTCAAAGCTGGCAGAGAGGCTGCGAGAAAAAGGGTGGGGGCGGCAGCCCTCGCTGCTCAGCTTCAGAGGCTTTCTGCTATTCAGCCGGGGATGAGAGACCTTTGTCACTGGGAGGCCCAGGAGCTCAGCAGATGCCTAAACTCTATTTTCTGTCTTTTCTTTTTCCCCTTTTCAGTTCAAAGAAATCCACTAGCATCTAATGACACGGAAGGGCTACAGAGAAGGTTCCCTTTCACACAGCCACAGACCACAGGTTCCCAAGCACCAACAAGATTGCTTTGCCTAGCTTCTGTTCCCTGTGCCCTGTTTCTCCAACTCCCACTCTCCTCAAGGGACCTTCTTCTATTTTGCTTTCTTTCTTGGCTACAGGGATGAAACAGAACACTGGTGGGCACCTGCATGAAATCCGGATGTGCCTTTTTGGATTTCAGTAAGAATCCCAAGAGCAAGTGTGCACACAGCCACTTGTCGTTTATGTTGTATACTTTTGTAGGTATCAAAAGAGCCATGAGGTTAGGTTTGGGAAACCGGGAGCAGCGCCACACAAGGAGGAAAGCCATGCCCTGGAGGCAGAGACAACAGTGAAGAAAAGCATTCTTTCCATTTGAGGCCATTTACTTATGAAAAGCCACCAACTGGGTACTTGCTACTTGGGCAGGCCGCCTCTGACTCTCCTCAGAAATGCAGGGCTTAATGGAAACCTGTAGCATTTCCCATTCCTTTTTTGTGCATCAATTGTAGAAAAATCTACTATTGAAGAAAAGTCTATTTTTAAGTGAGCAGGTATACACACTCTTCAAAAAACCATCACCAGAGCTTCCACAGCAAGTCCAGTCCTCCTGTGACCGACGCACCCTCTCCCAGAAACCCTTATGTCCAGCACATTCCCCACTGGGGCAGGGCCAAGACCCAGGCACGCAGTTTTGGGGCCTCATCCCTAATCAGCCTTTTTTGAACACTGGCCTATTTGTATTCCTCTTTGAGCTGCATAAACCCAGTAGGCGACGGAATTTCCTCATCCCCACTTCTGTGCCTCAAACATTTATCCCTTCCCGGATGTAAACTGAATCAGTACGGAATTGGCAACTACATTTAAAGTCCTTTGCTATAATGGCAGCTCCTAAAAACCATATCCCTGTAGGGCTAAACCCAGACTGTCTCCCAGTACTCAGCTCTAGCCTTCTCTATCCAGGTCAAAGCACATTTCTGCCTTGTGGCATGGAGATCAGCAACCCTTATTGTGCTCACCTGACCGTCGGGCTGACAAGATGATCCTCCAGTCTCACACCAAATCCTTCCAGTTTCTTGGCCCAGGCCTCTGAGCTGCCTTTTGTATTCGCTGGTTCCTCAAATGTCTGTCCATACTATGATGGTCTCTTACCCCCCCACTCATCCATGTGACTTGGGGTTTTCAGATTCTGGCAGCCAGTAGCTACAGAAAAATAAAAGTGGGGAAAAAAAGACAGGAACATCAGGATTAAACACTGAAATGTATTCAGGCATTATTTTACCTTTAAATGAAGGGGACTGCTAATCAGATCTACGGGCTTTTTCTCAGCCTATCATAGTAATTTTCAAGCTGGGGTGGTCTTAAAACCCCAGAGGATATTTGCCAGTCTGTTGATATTTTGTGATTTTTGCAACTAAGGGGATGCTACTGGCATCTAGTGGGTAGAGGCTAGGGATACTGCTCGACATACTGCAGTGCATAGGAGAGTCACTATAGCAAAGGGATGGCCATACCCAAAGGTTTTCAGTGCAGAGGCTGAGAAGCCACGGTCTAAACTGGGTGTGCACACTGGGTCAGGCTCCTGGCTCTCTTTTCTGGGCCTTCCCTGCTCTGCACTTTCTGCCTTTTTCTTGCCCAATGCTCCAACTGTTCTTCTCTCACCAAACTTACTTCTTCTCTACGGAGTTTTTATGTGATTTAGTGATCTCACACCTTTATAAAATTGAATACCAATTTCAATTTATGCCCCGTATCTTTTTTTCTAAACTTTAGACCCTTCTTCCCAAGTAATGGGTTGGAAAAAAATCATCAGTGCTCAGCTCATCTTCCTGCAATTCTGTCATATCTGAAATCAAACTGGTATTATCTCCTCACCATCCCCTCCCTAGCCTCTCCTCCTGACTTTGCTTTCCTTTGTCCAAAGTCCCAGAATCCAGGGGCCACTCTTTGGCTTCTCCACCTTTTGTGTCCCTCCAGCACAGGAACTGCCAGAGGGTCCTTCGGGACAACTCTTAAGTCCCTTTGTTTAACCTTTCAGAGCCCTTCAATTTGTCTGGGTCTTTCTCTTAAGGGTCTTAGGCAGCCTCAGCTCTGTGCATAAGCCCTTGTGTTCTCTTAATTGGGACCATCCTCCTCCATTGTATCTACTTTTCCTTAAAATTTGCCTCAAATCCCCACTTGCAGGACAAAACTTTCACTGCCCTCTCCATTTTCTGTCAAGGGAGTCTCAAAAGTCTTTACATGGGTGCTCCAGGGAATCTTTGCCAGCCCAAGAGCAACCCACACCTCAGTTTCCTATTATTAGATCCCTTTTCTTCCCCAGCAGGCAAATGCCCCGACCTCTCTCTCCATAACTAAGACTTTTATCCTTCCATGGAATCCCATGAGAAACACCAATTTTCAAGTCTTTCCGAGTCCCTCCGATTGGAGGTCTCATGCTGCTCTGCCCCCTTAGGATGAGGGAGCGCAGTCTTTATCCCTTTGATGCATATGCTCCCACTGCAAAGAAATAGGAACATCAAACCAGAGGGTCCCACGGGCTGCTCTTAAGAATGTCCAAGACAGACCCTGAACCCATTTCTCGTTAGATGATGTACTCAGGACGAAGGTGAGGCCTGGTGAAAGAAAATCGCCCCTCAGAGCCCCCATGGCAGATTCCCTGGGGCCTCACAGTGCCAGTGTCCACTGACCTTCCACGTGTGCAGGGTTCAGCATCCTTGGGGCCTCAACTGCTTATCCATCCTGGGTCGATCCTCTGCATATGAGCAGTAAGCTCTCCCCTCAGGGTCCTGGCCCCTACCTCTAAGCCCTGGAACTCTCGTAGCCTCATCTCACCTCAGCGCCGGCGGGGGAGGGGGGGGTCCCCTCTGTGGGGTTTGCTAGCCTAGGCATCAACAGTCCCCAAGGGTTGGCCTCTGGGAGCCCTTAACCTTAGCCTCTGGAATTTGTGGCCTTAGACAGGCTGAACCCTCAGCGCCAGCGGTCCTCGTGGTCCTCTCGGCCTGGCCGCCATGCACTCACACACCAACATTTCCTAAGCACCCGAACTGCATAACCCCTTTGGGCGTTCCAACGCGGCGCCCCCTATTGGACCTCCCACTCATATCCGGTTTCCGGTCCGACGCCCCCTGCTTATTCGCTAGGCAACCTTGATTGGCGTGACCCCAGCCCAATGGCTGACCTGGCGATGGGGTCGGGAGGAGCGAGACGTTCCTTTGGACCGGGTCCGCCCTCTCTATGGATGCTCGGATTGTTAAGCCGTTGCGTGTGGGGGTAGTTGGTCAAACTTTGAACCAAAGTTCAGTGTTGCAATCAGAAAGTGTGTAAAACCGTACAGCCGAGGTGGCAAGTCTTTGGGAGGTCCTATACGTTGCCGAGGGACTGACTTCATCGGCTTTTTCTCCGCGCTGCGTGGCCACGTGGCTGGTGGCTGGTGGGGGACGATACTGCGTCGTGGCTGTGGTACCCTGGCGGGTTCAAAGAAGGACACGTTAGATTTAACAAGCTCAGACCGCACGGTGTCTGCCGCGGAGGATCGCGGGATCATACACAGCGATCCACGCGGTGCGCCCTTTTTGCCGCAGCCCACCTGGTACAACAGGATTGTATCGGCCCCGGGTACCACAGCCCGGGCCTCTATGTGCCCCCAGACCACCTATTCTGAAAGTAAATGTGGCTGACAAATCCCTGTCACCAGCTGGCAAAACAGATCGCAATGCGTGCGTGCCGGGTTGTAAGCAAACCACAAGCGCGCAGTGGTTTTTTCCACCTCCCAGGCTCAAATCCCTCCGCAGACCCCAAACTCAGAACAGTGCGCATGCATAGACGCGCTGAGCCCGCGAGGCCCTCAAAGCTATTTACCACCTGCAGTCTCCAAGCCCACCGCGGCACTGCAAGGGGAGCGCGGCCGGCCAGCCGGCCGGCCGAGAGAGCGCTGCGTTTGTGGTCACCGTGCCGCCGCGGCAGGCAGACCGTAGCAGTGCAAAAGTGAAGCGGTTACCTTAAGATACCCCTACCAAAGGGCAAGGGGCTGGTGGGGGGCTTCAGAGGGGTCAGATCGCAGACCCCACAGCCCGTGGCTGATGTTGGAAGCCGCTTGCCGCCGCCGCTGCCACTGTCGGCGCGGCACGGTTTCCCTTTGGGTTAAATGCGCAATGTCTTTAAGACCACCCTGAATTCACCGCGATCACTAACAAAAACAGCCTTTAACCCTTTTCCCGAATGCGGAAATCTGAGGTCAGAGCTGCGGAGGGTCCCCCCATGCACCCTGCACCCTCCCCCCATGGTGCCGGCGCCGCCACCGCCTGGGGGCTTTGCTTGACTCTCTGCGGCGCGCGCCCAAGACCCTGTTATTCTTCTGCGTCACCATCCACATAAACGAGGGAGAACCCTGCCCGAACCTTCCTACGCCACTGCTGAGACCCCAAAAGCATAATGGGGCTGGGGGACATGGAAGTGCTTAATCGAAGCCAACCTCCGCAAACGACAAACATCAAGCTAAATGTACCGATGCGGCAGAAAGTACCCCAGGACATTTTAAAAATGAGCCGTATGCCCGCATGTGGCAGCCCCTCGCCCCTCGCCCCTCGCCCCCTCTCCGCCCCTCCGGTGGGCTTGCGACCACCTGTCGCATTCTGGCGCCCGCGCGCCTGTGGCCCCTTCCCAGGCATTTAAAGCCTCATTCTCCGGATGTCGGGCTCACAATCGGGGGCTCTCTAGGGCTGGGGTCTTTGGCTACGGGGCTCAACGGTATTCTTGGGGTGATAAAACCTTCCGCAGTCCCCCCTCCCCCCGAGGAGAATCAGTTGGGAGGGAGGATTTCGCTCCTCGACTCCAGCGTCCAGAGGCCCACGTCTTACGTCACGTGTCCCACAACGCAGGAGAGCCTTCTGTCTGGCCAGGGGAGAAGCGAGGACAAACACTCCAGTCGGGGAGAGGAGAGGAAGGAGCGGAGCCATCTCTGCGAGGCCTGCGCTCATCAGCCCCCTTACCCAAAGTCGGGGGCCACTGGCGCCCCGGAGCCGGCTCCAGGAGCCAGAGCCGGCTCTGCATTGGAACCTGCGTCCTCTGCTGGCAGAGAAAAAAGCACTGCTGACGATTTTCGGGCCGAATCGGCACGCTCCTCAGGGCCAAGCAGGCGGAACTGACCTGGAGTGGAGAGAAAAAGAGAAGAAAAAACAAAAGGTAACTGGCCAGAGGGTGTCCTGAGGACACAGAACTTGTCCGGGAAGAGACAAGGCGTCACTAGCGAGAACTAAGTTGTTTCTGCCACGACCTGGGGCCCCAGGTTCTGAGCACTCTGAAGGGTTGCAAAGGGAGGCTGGAGGACTTTCCAGCCCATCCTTGGATTTTTTTAAAATAATTTTTTCACCCTAGTTTGGTTGGGTGCTCCGTTTTACGGGGCCCCAATTTATTTTAAGAGGCCGCCACCGTGTTATGGGCATGCGCAACTGCCTCCACGGCAATAATATGCCAGGACAACGCGATATCCCCCCTGAAGTCGGGGAGCAGCCGGAACAACAACCTTTGGAGGCCCCAGGGCCAGCTGCCCCCAGTGCTGGGTCTGGCGCAGCCGAAGGGATGGAGGCCCAATCGCACGATGAGCCCGTCCCCGTCGAGGTTGAGGGCAAGGTCAGTGGACGCCCAGAGGCCCCCGGACCCGACGCCCAGGGCCTCAGTCTGGGAGTCGAGGAAGACAGAGCCTGCGGAAACTACAGCCCACCCCCCGAGGAAGCCATGCCCTTTGAGGTCGGGCAGCCCTGCTTGGGGGTTTTCTGGCCTTCCCAGGAGCAGCTGGGATCCTTCAGTGTGGTCCACGCGGACCTCGAGGGGCCCCATCCGGCGCGCATGGAGCCCAGAGCATTCGATGGCGCGAGACCAGAGCAGGGAAGCTACAGCCCTCCGCCCGAGGAAGCTATGCCCTTCGACTTTGAGCAGCTTGCACCGGGAGGCGGCATCCAGCCTGTCTTGCAGGTCGCAGACCTTGCTCCAGGAGGTCCATCTGCAGGGGTCCCTGGAGCTCCTGCCGAGGAGCCCGAAGCCCGCAGTCCCGAAGATGCGGGCTTCCGAGGAAGATACAGCCCTCCCCTTGAGGAGGCTGTGCCATTTGAGTTCGATGGAGAAACATTTGGGGAGGAAAGCCCACCCCCGGGGCTCCCCAGAGTTAACCCGCAAGTCGAAGGTGGCGGCCAGTTCGCAGCTGTCGCAGCTCCGAGTCCGGTCCGCCTCGCTCCCGCCGCACACGCGCCTCCCCTGTGGGTCCCGGGCGCCAGCAGCAGCCCATCCCGTGGGGCTGTCAGACCTCCCAATTCCCCGGGCGACAACCCCCGGATGGAGATCTCCGGACCCCAGCTCAAGATTGGTAGATCCCCCATTGGGGTCGACGACATCCCTGTCAACATGGACTGCCCCCCAATCGCGAAAGACGGCCCGCCCATCGAGGTCTCGGGAGCCCCAGATAAGAGAGAGCGAGCCGAGGGACCCCCAGTCGAAGGAGGCGCAGCGGAGATGGAAGGAGGATCAGCGGCCGCCACTGCGGAGGAAGGGAAAGTGCCCTCTCCAGGGCACGGATCCCCTGCCACCGGGGCAGCGCCCGCCGCTCCAGCAGAGCCCGACTCCGGGGCAGCCCCAGCCATGCCAAGCGATCCCGAAGCCCCAGCGGATCCCGGCTCCGAAGGAGCCCCATTCGCCCCGGCCGAGCCGGCTGGCACCGGAGCTGCCCCCGCTGCCGCAGTCGATGCCGACACCCGTACGGTCCCTGCCGCGCAGAAGGAGCCTGACGCCGCCGGGACAGCCCGAGCCGAGCCCGACTCTGGAAGAGCTTGCGTCGCCCGCGCCAGCGAGCCCCACTCCGACTCCGGGAGAGCACCGATCGCTCCGGCTCCGGCCCCAGCAGCGGCCCGGGCACTCCCCGCCGGCCCAGCCAATCCCGGCCCCCGGGCATTCCGCGCAGCCCTGGCCTCAGCCAACATCCGGCGAGTCCCGGCCGAGCCAGCAATCCGGGCCATGCGAGCCAGCGCCGCTATCCGATCGTTCTCCGCGCTGCCCGGCGCCCGCGCACCCCCTGCCGCCCGGGCAGCCCCCATCGCCCGAGCGATGCCCGTCGCCCGGCCGGCCTCTGTCGCCCCTGTCCCCGGGGCCAGCCGCAAGCCGCAGCTGCTCCTCAGGCCCCCCAGCCCCGAGATCCAGGTTGCTGACCCGCCTACTCCGCGGCCTACTCGGGCGTCTGCCTGGCGGGGCAAATACGAGCGCGGCCGCGGCAGCCACCTCCGATACGAAGAGCGGGGCCACGTCTGCGACGATTCCTCCAGCGACGAGTCCGAGGACGGGGCCACCGGCTGCTTCCAGTGGCTCCAGCGCCGCAATCGCCGCGGCAGAAAGCCCCAGCGCAACTCATTCCGCAACTTCATCTCCCAGACCTTCGGGGGCTGCTTCGGCGGATGCGGGGGTCCCCAGCCCGGAGCCACGAGCCCCTCCAAGGTCAGGAAGGACTTTGTGGCCGAGCAGCGCAGCCAGATGCGCAAAGAAGCCATTGAAATGCGCGCCCAGAAGCGCGCAGCGAAGAAACGCAGCCAGCTCATCGACAAGCAACTCCAGGACGAGAAGATGGGCTACGTGTGCACGCACCGCTTGCTGCTTCTAGGTACTGCGGCGGACTCTGCCCTTGGGCAGCAGGGCCGCCCGGGTGCCCGGGGAGGGGGCGGCAGGTCTTCCCGGTGGGGCCCGGGGCTTGGCCACGGGGCGGGGGGAGGAGGGTCTGGTCAAAGGCGGGAAGAACCTGCTAGAAGTTCCAGGGAGGGACCCTAACTTCGCCCCGGGGGCGGGAGGGGTGTTGGGGGGGGTTCGGGTGGCCGAAGTATGTGCCCTCTAGGGAGAAAAGTGATGCCGAGCGACACTGAGGGTCGTTTCCGGCTGGAAAGGCCAGCGCCAGCGCCAGCGCCAGCCACCGTAAGCTGGACAGGCGACAGGCGGGGGCTTCAGGTGAGCCAGGAACTGCCGGGGAGGGGCCCTGGGGCTCCCCTGGCTAAGATGTGTGTGGGCTGGGGTCGTTGGGGAAGGCGCGTCCCGCCTTGCCTGGCACGGCTGCTTGGTGTCGGACAGCTTATTGTTGGTGTGTGTTGGTGTCCATATTCTGTGTCCGCCTGTGCATGACATGCTCAAGTGTCCCCCAGTGACGCATCCCTGGCATCCCCCGAACTACCCGCCGACTGTGTACTTGTACTCGGGAACGGGCTGTCTTGTGATTTGCGCCATGGCGCGGGCCGAAACTTTCCGTGTCGCTGTCGCCGGCGGTACCTGTGCGCGGCCGCTGTGCGGTGAGCAGCAGCGCGGAGGCGCGGGGCCGGTGGCGGGGCATCCTGGGTAATGGCTGGGCCGCTGGCCGGGGTGGACGGGGCCGCTGCCCGGGGCCTCCATAACCTTTTTCCTGTGTCTTTCTCTCTTTTTCCCTTTGCGCTAAGCGTATCCTCACTTCTCATTCGTTCGCCAAACCCTCCCGCCTTTACGGTTGAAAAACCAGACACGCAGGTATCTGGGGCTCCCGGGCTGTACACAGGATCTCGGGGTTCTGCACACACTCGGTTCACTCGGTGGGAGGCTGGAGGGGGGCGGGGGAGGGACGTCCACCCGCGGGCCGCAGGTCCGGTTCCAAGGGGGTGGGCGTGGCTGTGTTTTCCAAATATGAAATATGTTTTGTTTTCACTAGCGAGGAGCCCGAGGTAAGCCAATCATTTCTACTTTTACGAAGAGTACGTTAGTAGGAGGGGCTTGGTTTAAAAAAAGATGGGAGTTATGCATTGGGAGTGGAATGCCCTTGTGTTTAAATGAAATTAAAAGTATAAAACAAAACAATTAAAATGCTCCAAGTGTACTTTAAGTATGTGTACTAAGTATGGATAACAATGAGGATGCCTTTTGAAATATGTAAATGATTGCATGTGAATTTTTTCAAGCAGCTTTAGCTGGGGGCAAAGAGGCTGAAAGGTAAGCTCTTCTGCCAATTGGCTTCTGATACAAAAAATTCTTTAAAAGTCCTGTGATTAAAGTTAAAATAATACTGTGTAATCAGAAGGGGGCCTTGGGAGGCCCTCCTCCATCCCTCCTCCCTCTACCTTCCCCCAGGATTCAGTGCCCCATCCCGTCTCCAACTCCCCACCCCTCTGACTCCTTACCTCAAATGGGAGGCACTACCTCATCTCGGAATAGTTAATGGAAGCAGGTATCAACCGTGGTCTGAATCTGACTTTTTATGAAAATGTCAAAAGCGAAGGTTCACCACCTTAAAAGCTTTCAAGGGATTTCAAGATCACAATTGCTATGGCTGTGCCCCCTATGTTTGTGAAGTATTTTCTAAGGTTGCGCTATGTTTGTTTGTGAAATGTTGTATAATGTGTGTGGCTTTTCTGAATGACATTAGTGGCATACCCATGCTGCTGTGATACAGTGCCTGCAAATCATAGTTTCAATGTGATGGTCATTTTACTAATGCTTACCTGCAGAAATAATGATATTATCATTTACCCTAAAACATTCAAAAGGAGATAGCTTTAAATTTCAAAGGTCTCAACTATATCTAAGCTATAGAATTTCAGACAATTGATTTTTGCCATAATAGCTTACCTGGGGGGAGTGCAAAGCTATGAATTGGGGGCAAGAGGCATGCAGCTGACTTCAGTCCAAGGGGTCTGACCCATAATTGGCAAATTGATGGTGTCCCTTCTGTGCCAGGGCCCATGAAATAAAGCTTTCCTAGCAAATATTCCTGACTTTAGTCTCTATCCCCCTCCCCAGGGCTGGGGAGGCAGGAGGGAGAAAGTGGAGGTGGCATAGATTATGTAACCATCCATTCTGCAGCAAAATGTCCAGGTCTGGGGCTGGGGTCTTGGGAATGTTATAATTTCCCTTGTCTCCTCAATTTGTCATAAGAAAAATAAATTTGTCAGGGTGTTTTGCCACTGTCCAGTGTTTGTTCCTCAGGTACTGGTAACCAGGCAACTGAATGAAACATCCCGAGCAAACAGGCTGCTAAGCCTTGGGCCAGTACCTGAGGGCCAGTGTTACCTGCGTCCTGCCACTGCAGCCCTGTAGTTTCTAAAACCAGTGTCCCATCAGGCTGGCCTCACTTTATTGAGGTGACACGAAGGGTATCACACCTGGGGCTGAGTTACCGGTGAGGAAGGGGGAGAGGAGGATCTACCCACACAGAGGGTAATACTTGGTACTAAATTACTAGTGCCAGAGTATGCAAAAAGACATTCATGCAGTCCTACCCCTGAGAGTGCAGATCAAATGGCCATCCTTTGATGTGATTCCTGATTGGTGACATGCTGACTCACTTGTTGCTTTTTAAAAGTATGTGTTTATGTGTGCATAGTCTTGGTTTTTATTGCCCAAACTCCTTAACCACATGACATGGAGCTTTAAAAAGAAGGAAGAGAAATAGAAAGCCTAGGCTAGCTAAAGAGTTAAAAGCCTTTTGCCTGCTTGATGCTATCCAGTGCTAAATTTCCCTTCCCATGATTCTTTGCTCCTTTTAATAATTTTGGTGGCTTAGACTTTTTTCCCCAACTTTAATTAGGTGTGATTCCCTTGTTTAAGAATCAAAAAGAGTCTACTAGATCAGAATTTCTTAGTATATCTGCTGCATTTATTAAAGTTTACAGGCAAATACTATATGTAATAATAGACATTTTGTAACAGCACTGTATTGACACAGTGAATCCCAGTTAGGTATATGATTATTTATGGTGTCAAATGCAACAGTGAAGGGTTATATCCCATCTTGCAGAAGTACTTTTTTCTTTTTCTTGATGTCTTTTTCCCCTCTTTATTTTATTTTATTTTATTTTTTTCATAATACAGCCTCTTATTCATTTTCAGAATGCCTCTGCTTGGTTGAGGAGAAAGGACCTGTCCTACCAGGCCACAATATTTTAGAAATAAGAGACTTTTATTATTTTCTCTTTTGTTCCTCCCAGTAGGATTCATATTTCTCAGAGGCCACAATTCTGGCCTGCCTTTAAACATGCACATTTTTCTCAAAAGCTTTTTCTTCCCAGATGGCAAAACTCATCTTTAAAATTTGTCCACATTTTCCAGGGTGAAAAAACCAGTTTTAGATGGAGAGACAGGATCCGTTCCTGGCTGAGAATTTCCTCGTAGCTGGAAAGGGAAAGTTGCATTGCTCTCAGTACTGGTAGTGGTCAGTAATGGTAATGACAACATACTCTGATTGCATTTGACATTTGCAAAAGCCTTCAGTCTTGTCACATTTGTCCTTTGAAACCGTTCTGGGCAATAAAAACATATTTCCTCATTTCATTGGCAAATAAACCCAGTGCTCAAAAATTAACTATCAGGAACTTTTTGCTCAAAGGCTGTAAGGTAAGTGAAGGAGCTAAAGTTTCTAATTCAGATAAGATGATGCTTACCAAAAACATGCCAAGCTGTACTGAAGTGAGAAGCATGATTGATGTAAACCTGTGTCTCTTAAAATCCCTTGTCACATGACAGGTGTCTCTCAATCTGCTGCCTTTTGAATGATGGCCAGACCTGGAGAACTCCTGGTTACAAATGTCCGCTGAGTGTACCTGAAACGTGAGCTCCCCATCCTGGCGACCCCTGCATTTGCACACTTGTTTACCTCCCTGCCAGTGCCACTCTTCATTTGTTTACTGGGCTTTTTTCTTCTTCTTTTTTTTTTTTTAAATGCAGACTTTCTTTAAAGTTTTTTTTTTTTTAACATTCCCTAGTTTTGTTTAACAAGGTCTAAAGCTTTTCTCCTTAGTCAGGTTAATAATGAATAATAATGTAGTTGCTTTTACATATAACACCCCTACCTGTTTAGTCTTATAGTAGTTAGAACTCCGTCTGGACCTAGTGCTTCCATAAAAATAACTGTTTCAAACTTCTTCCCCAGTTTCTGGTTGTTTCATTTTAGTTTAGAGATGATTCCCATTTAGTGAGAGTCAATTTGTGATATTGGAAATGATCCTTTGTTTTGGGGGCTTTTGTTTGTTTGTTTGTTTTGAGGGAGGTAAAACAGGATCTCACTTGTAGCCAGGATGGCCTGGAACTCACAGCGATCTTCCTGCCTCAGTCTCCCAAGTGCTGAGATCACAGGTGTGTACCACCACACCCAGCAGAAATCACCTTTGACCTTTTTGGATTTTTTTTCTTTTTTCTTTTTCATTTCATTTTATTTTAAAAGAGACAGAGTCTTTCTGTGTATCCAGGCTTTATGGGCTTGAACTCACCGTGTAGCCAGGCTGGCCCGGACTCACAGCAGTCCACCTGCCTCAGTTTCCCAAGTGCTGAGATCACAGGTGTGCACCACCACACACAGCAGAAATCACCTTTGACCTTTTTGGATTTTTTTCTTTTTCTTTGTTTTTGTTTTTATCTGTTTATTTGTTTATGTTTCACAGAATCTTGCTGTGTATTTCAGCCTGGACCTGAACTTACTATACAGCCCAGGCTGGCCTGGAACTCACAGTGATCCTCCTGCCTCAGTTTCCCAAGTGCTGAGATCACAGGTGTGCACCACCACACCCAGCAGAAGTCACCTTTGACCTTTCTTGGGTTTTTTTTTCTTTTTCATTTTATTTTATTTTATTTTATTTTATTTTATTTTATTTTATTTTATTTTAAGAGACAGAGTCTTTCTATGTAGCCAGGCCGGCCCGGACTCACAGCAATCCACCTGCCTCAGTTTCCCAAGTGCTGAGATCACAGGTGTGCACCACCACACCCAGCAGAAGTCACCTTTGACCTTTCTTGGGTTTTTTTTTTCTTTTTCATTTTATTTTATTTTATTTTATTTTATTTTAAGAGACAGAGTCTTTCTATGTAGCCAGGCCGGCCCGGACTCACAGCAATCCACCTGCCTCAGTTTCCCAAGTGCTGAGATCATAGGTGTGCACCATCACACCCAGCAGAAGTCACCTTTGACCTTTCTTGGGTTTTTTTGTTTGTTTTTCCTTTTTCTTTTTTCTTTTTTTCCTTGAGACAGACTCTTGCTGTGTCGTTCAGCCTGGACTTCAACTCACTGTGTAGCCCAGGCTGGCTTTGAAGTTATGATGATCCACTTGCCTCAGCTTCCTGGGAATTGCAGGCCTTCATCATCATGCCCAGCTACTTTTGACCTTTATGGAGGAAGACCGTTAATATACAAAAATAAATTTCTTTTGAAGAAGAGCACTTGGTTGACCTGGCATGCGCCTTCTTTTTCTTTTACAGTCAGTCTCCTCTCCAAATAAAACCTCACACAGTCAACAAAAGTGCAGCTCTTCAGCTGTCTCCAGAGTACCTTTCAGGAGACAAAACAAATGAACACTGGTTTCTAAACTTGACTTTTGTTTTGTGTTCACCTGTGCCAAGAGGAGGATTCTTCCCCGACCCACTTTACCCCCTTTAAGGTTTTAGTGAGATGCGAAATTAACATGTCATCTGCCCATTTTCTTAAAATCAAATGTCTCAGGAAGAGAAGATGTTTTCAAAGTAGGGAGGAGAGAGCCAAGTGATGGGACAGGGTCTCCCCCTTGGTCCCAAAGGGTTGG